ATAGTTGTCATTTTTCTGTCCTATGTGGAAAAAACTCTGCTACTTCAAAATCACAAAGTTTTTTTTCTATGTTTTCTTTTAGACGTTGTATAGTTTTGGTTCTTAAGTTTAAGTCTGTAAATGGATCGTTTGCTTACTCAATGGTAATATAATCTACTGTTGTGGCACAAATTCCGTGGTGGGAAGAGACTGACTGCAACCCAGTGGAGTCACCTCCAAAGGCTGAGCCCGAGCCCTGGTTCCAGCCGTCTTGTGTACATGGTGAGCCTCCGGGCACTTGGGGACCCTCTAGTTCCCGGGTAGCTAAGGCGACTGGTGGACGTCTGGGAATTACAGAAGCCAAGGGCGGGTCTGCAGGTCACCGCACGGCCTAAGGGGTGCACCTGGCTGCCTTCTCCCCCAGTAACATCATTGTTCATTTGATGTCACCCATACAATGAGCACCACTGACCCGCTGGACCAGGGGAGCCCTTCTGAGCCCTCTTCCGTGTCCTCTGGAACGTCCCCATCATTGTGTGAGCAGGTCTCGTTTTCTGGCTGATCTTGGACCTTCCCTGTGTCAGCCCAGAACCAGCCATTTCCCCAAGGATCCCTGGTTTCTTCTAGCACAGTGAGATCTAAACGCCAACTCCCAGCCCTGGCTGGTTTGGCTCAGCGGTTAGCATGTCAGCCTGCGGTCCGGAGAGACCCAGGTTTGGTTCCCGCTAAGGGCACGAACCTCGGTTGCAGTTTGTCCCCGGCCCTGGTTGGGTCATGCAGGTGGTAGCCACTCGATGTGTCCCTTCACATCAATGTTTTTTTCTCTCTCTCTCTCTCTCCCTCGCTCTCCCTCCCACTCTATCTGAACAAAAAATGAAAAAATGTCTTCGGGTGAGGATAAAACAATAATAATAATAAAAAATAAATAAACCAAGTTCTAGGCTCTAGGCTCTAGGATGCTCACTGCTGTCAGGATATTGCTTCTGACTTTGTGTCTGTCCGTCCGGCTACCACGACACCTGTCTATCCAGGTTACTCTCACTCCAGTGCCACAAACACACCGGCATTCTGTTCGGTCTCCTCCCTTCCATCCCAGTGTCTGTCTCTGCACAGTGAGACCCGCCTCCCACACATCAGTACATTTACTTGTTTGCTTAGTGTTATAATCCACCAAAGTAGTTTCAAAATTACTGTAACTGTGCTATACGAAAAACCTACTAAGCAGACTTTAAGATTCCTGTTTTATTTTGACTGAGGGTCCTTTGGTAAAGTATTGGTCTAAATATGACTTGAATTAATTATTTTCTTCCATGTGGCCATGCTATTAATTTGAAATATGGTTAATTGGTTTCTGTTTGCATTCAATTTTCTTTTTTTCCCCATACTTGTTGATTTAATCTCATTTTTGAATGTGTAAAACATTAATGAAGTTTTAAAATCAAAACTATAGACTTCCAATCAAGATGGTTCTCACCTCTCACAACCACATCAAAATGACAACTAAACTACAGAACAACCATCACTCAGAACCACCTGACACCGAGCTGAATGAAGTCCTACAACTACGACATTAAAGAACCACATGGAAACTGGTAGGAGGTCGGAGGGGGACAGGCTGGTCCCACACCCACCTGTGGCAGATAAAAATCAGGGGACACCTCCACTGGGAAGGTCCTTCCTGAGGACTGAGGGGTCCCCGCCCCACACCAGGCGCCCAGCTCAGGGTCCCAGTGCCAGGAAGAGAATCCCCATCACTTCTGGCTGTAAAACCAGCGGGAACTGAGGCTCAGGGAGGCTGAGGCGGCTGGAACCCCAGGCAGCTCCTTAAAGGGCCCGCGCACGGACTTACTCGGACCCTCTCCTTCTGGGCTCCAGCGTGGGGGAGGCAGCTTAAAAGGCACCAGAAACTTATGGGGAAAAACTGAGTTGTCTGGCATCGGGGCGAGGGCTGAAGAGGGGGCTTTCTCCTGGACAGACCTGCTGGGGAGGCCATTGTCCCTTTAGTGAGCCCTTCCCTGGGCGGCAGACAGCCCCCATATCTGGGACTCCAGCAACCTGGCTCACACTGTTGGCCCCGCCCTGGTGACTCCCTGAGGCCCCGCCCCACCCAAATTTGAGGTCCACCCAAGCTGTTTCCAGTGGCTTTACCATAGAATTGGCCTGTCTTGGCTCTTATTTCAGAATTTCCTAAATTCTCTCAAACAAGCAGCATCTGGTCTCAGCGAGCCCCGCACCTCTCGTTAAGTGGCCCAGGCCTGGCACTAGAAGCAGCCAGCCTTGGGTCACAGCTTGGCTTTTCCTGGACACCTCCAAGCCCAGCACAAGAAGCACCATCTGCAGATCACTCTGTAGGTTATGCCTGGTGGCCCCGGGTAGAACACAGGCAGTGGCTGACCGTGCCCCAGAGCCAGCACACCCAGTGGACAGCTTCAGACCACGTCGAAGCACCACCACCCAACCACCTCCACAAGCGACACACTCAATGAGCGAACTCAGTGGGTACCAGAGCCCTGCTGAAGTAAGTCATGCTCTGTGTGGTGGCCCCTGCACAGCTGATCCTCCAAGGTGGTCAGAGGTCAGTGGTCAGTGGGCACAGCCAGTCCTTGCAGCTGATCAGCCTGAGTAAACCCCTCCCATTGATGTGCCAACTGCAATCAAGATTTAATTACAACAGAAGGGTGTACAGTCCACACGAGGGGTGCACCTTGAGGGCCCAGCTGGGATGACCAGGGAGGCTGTGTCATTGGACCTACAGGACACCGACTATAACAGGCCACCTTAGGAAGCCTGGGAGACATAGCACCCCTACCCAGTACATAGAAACAAACACAGGGAGGCAGCCAAAATGAGGAGACAAAGAAACATGTCCCAACTGAGAGAACAGAACAGAACCCTACAAAAAGAATTAAATGAAATGGAGATAAACAATCTAACAGATGTAGCGTTCAGAACACTTGTTATAGGGATGCTCAATGAACTTAGTGAGGACCTCAAAAGCATAATAAAAGACCAGTCAGAAATAAAAGATACACTAACTGAAAGAATAATTCACAGGAATCAATATTAAAGTAGGCGAAGTCAAGAAGCAAACCATTGATTTGGAGTATAAGAAAGCAAAAAACACCCAATCAGAACAGCAAAAAGAAAACAGCATAAAAAAAATTAGGTCAGTATAAGGAGCCTGTGGGACAACCTCAAACATACCAACATTTGTATCATAGGAGCATCACAAGGAGAAGAGAGAGGGCAAGAAATTGAAAACCTTTTTGAAAAAATAATGACAGAAAACTTCCCTAACTTGGTGAAGGAAACAGACATACAAGTCCAGGAAGCACAGAGAGTCCCAAACAAGATGAACCCAAAGAGGCCCACACCAAGACACATCATCATCAAAATGCCAAAGGTAAAAGGCAAGGAGAGATTCTTAAAACCAGCAAAAGAAAAATAGCTAGTTACCTACAACAGAGCTCCCGTAAGACTGTCAGCTGATTTCTCCAAAGAAACTTTGCAGGCCAGAAGGGAGTGGCAAGAAATATTTAAAGTGATAAAAAGCAAGGGCCTACAACCAAGACTACTCTATCCTGCAAAGCTATTATTTAGAATCCATGGCCATATAAAGAGTTTCCCAGAGAAGAAAAAGCTAAAGGAGTTCATCACCACCAAACCAGTGTTATATGAAATGTTGAAAGGTCTTCTTGAAGAAAAAGATAAAAAAAATGAATAAAATGGCAATTAATACATATCTATCAACAATTGAATCTACAAACAAAATGAGCAAGCAGAACAGAAACAGACTCACAGATACAAAGAACTTTTTTAAAAAATTTATTTTAGAGAGAGAGGAAGGGAGAGGGAGGGAGAGATAGAAACATCGATGAGAGAGAACATTGATTGGCTGCCTCCTGCATGCCCCACACTGGGGATTTGGCCCACAACCTGGACATGTGCCCTGACCAGGAATCGAATGGGCAACCTATTGGTGCAGGGGTGGACACTCAACCACTGAGCCACACCAGCCTGGCAATACAGAGATTTTTGTTGTTGTTGCCAGATGGGAGGGGAGTTTGGTGAAAAATATGAAGGGATTAGGAAGTACAAATTGGTTGTTAGACTGATGAACCTCAAAGGGAAGGGGGGAGGTGGGTCAGGAAGAGAGAAACCAAAAACTTATAAACTTATATGCGTGCATAACCGATAGACACTGACAACAGTGTGCGGAAAGCAGGAGTGGGGGTTGGGGAGAAGGGGGCCCAGTGGGGGAAAAGGAGGGACCTCTGTAGTACATTCAACAATAAAGAGAAGTGTAAAAATTAATAATAAAATGGAAAATAAAATAAAAACTATAGAAAAAGTACATGCAAAGAAGTGTTGATTCCTCCTCTATTTATTCTATTCCAACCCACCATCTATAGGTAACAGATATTATTAATTTGTCTTATCTTTCCTATGTTTTTTTTTAAGAAGAAACTTTCTTACTCATATGACATACTATATATATTCTTTTTAAAAAAATGTTTGTATTAATATGAGAGAGAGAGGAAGGGAGAGAGAAAGAGACATTAATGAGAGAGAAACATTGATCAGCTGCCTCCCGCATGCCCCTTAGTGGGGATTGAGCCCGGAGGCAGGCTCAGCAACCTTTCAGTGGATGGGATGATGCCCAACCAACTGAGCCACACCAGCCAGGGCTATCGATATGCTTCTGTGCTTTTTTCATTTAGTAATCATATCCTGAAAGTCACCCCAAACAGTTCACAGAGATCTCATAATTTGTCGTGATAGCTACAGAGCCGTGACCTAAACAAATGGGCATGGCTGTGTGTCGATAACATTTTATTTAGAGCCCAGCCCTTTTGGCTCAGTGGACTGAGCGCTGTCCCATGGATGGAGAGGTCCCGGTTCGATTCCCAGTCAGGGCACATGCCCAGGTTGCTGCAGTCTCAATCCCCAGTAGGGGGCGTGCAGGAGGCAGCCGATTAAGTTTCCCTCTCACATTGATGTTTCTCTCTCTCTCTCTGTTTTTAAATATGGAACGCTTCAGGAATTTGCATGTCATCCTTGCACACGGGCCATACTAATCTTCTCTGTCGTTCCAATTTTAGTATATGTGCCACCAAAGTGAGTGTTTGCCTCTCTCTCTTAAAAAATCAATTAAAAAAAAAAAAAAAACTTAAAAAAATTTTATTTACGAAACAGTATGCGAGCTGGATTTGGCCAGCAGGCCATAGTTGTCAACCACTGCTCTAAAGAGTGCCCTGGGGCTGAGGGAGAGGCCTCCAGAAAGGACAAAATCGAAAGAGGGGAACCATTCCAACGAGGTTGAAACCTGATTGCAGAAGGCTGCAGCCGCCTCGATAGTGGGCAGTGTTGCTGGGTTTCCAAGGCCAAAGTTTTCCACAGTTGCCAGGCAGGCAGTAAACAACCCTCTGATACAGAGTCACAGGGCAGGTTGGGGCCCCACCTGGAACACCTGGCATCCCCCCCAGGAGGTCCACAGCAACTTGGTCATGAGGCTTAGCCTGGGGCTGGGGGCACTAAGGGATCAGGCACTCTGACACCCCTTGGTTTTATCACCTTCTCTCCCAACCCCTCTACCCCCACTGCACGCCGTTAACGGACCCTATAGCTGGGAGCAGGTAAAAGCAAAACTCAGCACCCAGAACCATGAAGCCCCCTCCTTCCGCAGTGCTGCTCCTGTGCGCTCCTCTGACAAAGCTACACCCCGAGCTCCGTTATGGAGAAAGGCTTGGAGTCAAGGAGCGGGTACTCCGGGGAAGCTGAAGTTGGCAGACTCCTACAGTGATTCTTAAGAGCTGGATCGATGAGTCCAAGGGTACATAAATAATTTGCTAGTTCATGAAAAATGTATTCCTTAGGGATTTATCACCCTACATTTCCACCACCAACATGGGAGTGCTGTTACCATCCCGTCTCGTCAATAAAGAGTGCTGCCATACTTTTTGTTTTGTCAATATACTTATAAAATATTATCCCATTGTAGTTTTAATTTACATTTCTTTTACTATCAGTAACGCTATCTTTTCATAGACTATGAGTCATTTTGCCTGTTCTCGTTTTTGTTGTAAATTGCCTGTTCATGTCTTCTGTCCGTTTTTGTATAGGGCAACAACGTAAGTTCTTGAAGAGCTCAGAGCAGGGAAAAGACCAGCTACAACTGAACTCATTTGTGAAGAAACAGTTCTGTAAAGCTTGTTGTTGTTTTGTTGTTGCTGTTGTTGTCTTCCCTTAAGTTAGACACCAACATTCAAACCTGAGTTCAGTTTATTTCCATCGTGACCACGTCCCCCCTGTGGGTCTGGCCACCAGAGGGAGAGTAAGATGCGTCCTTGCTCTTAAGAAGCTGACATCTGGGTGGGAAAATCGACATGTGGAATTGGGAAGCAGTAGAACATAGCAATTACACTACGAATTAGATTCAAATTCTGACATTGAATTTCAGCAAGTAGCTGTGTAGTATTGGGTGGGTCACATCCATTTTGTGCCTCAAATTCTTTTTTTTTTTTAATCCTCACCCGAGGACATTTTTCCATTTTTTGTTCAGATAGAGTGGGAGGGAGAGAGAGAGAGAAACATCAACGTGAAAGGGACACATCAAGTGGCTGCCACCCGCATGACCCAACCAGGGCCGAGGACAAACTGCAACCGAGGTACATGCCCTTAGCGGGAACCAAACCTGGGTCTCTCCGTACCGCAGGCCAACACTCTAACCGCTGAGCCAAACCGGCCAGGGCTGTGCCTCAAATTCTTAAGAGGGAAATAATAATATGCACCTCACAGAGTTACTGTAATAACTAGATGAGTTATTATATGGAAACAACTAACACACTGCCTGGTACATAATAAACGTACACCAAATAATTGCTAATAATAATCAATAAAAATGATTGCAATAGTACTAACAAAAGAAGTAGAGGAATTCACACTTGCTGCAATAACTTATATAAGTTTACTAAATTATAGTTGAGTTTTAAAGTGTGTAGTGAACTGGATCTAAGATTGTGGCATTGTCGGTGGAAGTTGCTACACTCACCTCCTCCCAGATAGAAACTGGAATTACACCTAAAATACAGAACAATCAACCAAAGGCGATCCGAACAGAAGTCTTATAACCAAGGACGTACAGAAGAAGCCACATTGAGACTGGTAGGAAGGGCAGGGACTGTTTTTCTCTTGCTGGTTTTAAGATTCTCTCCTTATCTTGAACCTTTGGCATTTTGATGATGATGTGTCTTGGTGCGGGCCTCTTGGGGTTCATCTTGTTTGAGACTCTCTGTGCTTCCTGGGCTTGTATGTCTGTTTCCTTCACCAAGTTAGGAATGTTTTCTGTCATTATTTTTAAAAATAGGTTTTCAGTTTTTTGCTCTCTCTCTTCTCCTGGCAACCCCATGATGCGAATGTTCGTTCACTTGAAGTTGTCCCTGAGGCTCCTTACATCACCCTCATTGTTTTGGATTCTTTGTTCTGATAGGGTGTTTTCTGCTTCCTTGTATTCCAAATCTATGGTTTGCTTCTTAGCTTCTCCTACTCTACTATTGATTCCCTGTAAATTATTCTTTATTACAGTTAGTGCATCCTTCATTTCTGACTGGTTCTTTTTTATGTTGTTGATGTTCTCATTAAGTTTCTTGGAGTTCTCCTTAAAGTCCTTAAAAGTCTCACTAAGTTCCTGATGGTCTCACAAGTTCCTTGAGCAACCTTATAACCAGTGTTTTGAACTCTGCATCTGATTGGTTGCTTGTCTTCATTTTGTTTAGTTCTTTTCCTGGAATTTTGTTTTGTTCTTTTACTTGGGACATGTTTCTTTGTCTCCTCATTTTGCTGCTTTTCTGTTTTGTTTCCATGTATTAGGTAGAGTTGCTATGTCTCCTAGGCTTCCTAGGGTGGCCTGTTGTAGTAGGTGTCCTGTAGGGTCCAGTGGCACAGCCTCCCTGGTCACTCCAGCTGGGCTCTTGAGGTGCATCCCTAGTATGGACTGTCCACCCTTCTGTTGCAATTGAGTCTTGATTGCTTTTGGCGCATCAATGGGAGGGATTTACCCAGGCTGATCAGCTACAAGGATTGGCTGTGCCCACTGACCACTGGCCTCTGACTACCTTGGAGGATCAGCTGTGCAGGGCCCACCACACAGAGCAAGACTTACTTCAGCAGGGCTCTGGTACCCACCGAGTCCACTCACTGAGTGTGTCACCTGTGGAGGTGGCTGGGTGGTGGTGCTTCGATGTGGTCTGAAGCTGTCCACTGAGTGTGCTGGCTCTGGGGCAAGGTCAGCCTCTGCCTGTGTTCTACCCGCGGCCACCTGGCATAAGCTATAGAGTGATCTGCAGATGGCTGCTTCTTGCACTGGGCTTGGATGTGCCCAGGAAAAGCCAAGCTGTGAACCAAGGCTGGCGGCTTCTAGTGCCAGGCCTGGGGCCACTTAGCAAGTGGTATGGGGCTCACTGAGACCAGATGCTCCTTGTTTGAGAGAATTTAGGAAATTCTGAAGCAGGATCCAAGACAGGCCAATTCTATGGTAAAGCCACTGGCAACAGCTTGGGTGGGCCTGAAAGTTGGGGTGGGGCCTCAGGGAGTCAGCAGGGCGGGGCTACCAGTGTGAGCCAGGTTGCTGGAGTTCCAGATATGGTGGGTGTCTGCCGACCCAGGGAAGGGCTCACCAAAGGAACAAGGCCTCCACCAGCACGTCTGTCCGGGAGAAAGCTGCCCTTGTAGCCCTCGCCCCAATGCCAGACCATTCAGTTCTTCCCCGTATGTCTCTGGTGCCTTTCAAGCTGCCCAACCCCCATGCTGGAGACTGGAGGGTGTGAGTCCAATTAAGTCCATGTGCAGGGCCCTTTAAGAGGAGCTGCCTGGGGCTCCAGAGGTCTCAGCCTCCCTCGGCCTCAGTTCCCACTGGTTTTCCAGCCAGAAGTGATGGGGATTCTCTTCCTGACAATGGAACCCCGAACTGGGGGCCTGGTGTAGGACGAGGACCCTTCAGTCCTCAGGGAGGACCTTCCCAGTGGAGATATTCTTCTGATTTTTATCTGCCACCTGTGGGTGTGGGACTACCCCGCCCACCTCCGCCCTCCTACCAGTCTCCGTGTGGTTCTTCTTTACTGTCATAGCTGTAGGACTTCCATTCCGCTCAGTTTCAGGTGGTTCTGAGTGACGGCTGTTCTGTAGTTTAGTTGTCATTTTGATGTGCTTGTGGGAGGAGGTGATACTGCGCGTTTACGTACGTTGCCATCTTGACCGGAAGTCCTATTTATTATTATTTTTAATCCTCACCTAAGGATATGATGTTATTGATTTTAGAGAAAGGAAAAGAGAGAGATGTGAGAAGGAAACATCGATCAGTTGCCTCCTGTACATGCCCTGATCAAGGATCAAACCCATAACCTAGGAATGTGCCCTGACTGGATATCAAACCTGAAGATGTTTTTAATGTGCAGGATGATGTTCCAAGCTACTGAGTTACCCAGCCAGGGCTCAATAATCACTTTAAACATGTTTATGTTAGAAGACAGAGGGTAGCTAAATGGATACTAAAACAAGACCCATATATATGCTGTCTAAAAGAGACCCACCTCGGAATAAAAGATACACACAGATTAAAAGAAAAGAGACTGAAAAAGGTATTTTTACAATGGAAATTTACAAAAGCCTAGAGTAGCAATACTTAATATCACACAAAATATTATTGTAAAACAAAGAAGGACACTGCATAATGATAAAAGGATCATCCAAGAAGAGGATATAACCCTTGTAAACATGTATGCACTCAACATTGGAGCTCCTAAATATATAAAGCAAATTTTGAAGGACATAAAGGGAGAGATCAATAGGAAAACAGTCAAAGTAGGTGACTTTAACATCCCATTGACATCAATGGATAGATCACCTAGATAAAATATCAACATGGAAACAGTGATCTTAAATGCCACCCTAGAGAAAATCAATTTAATTGGCATCTTCAGAGCATTTCACACCAAAATAACAGAACATATTTTTTTTCTAGTGCACATGGGATATTTTCTTAGGATAGACCACATGTTAGAACATAATATAAGTCTCAGTAAATTTAAAAAGATTGAAATCAAATCAAGCATCTTATCTGATCTTA